GGGGGGGGGGGGGGGGGGGGGGGGGGGGGGGGCGCGTCCCCTGCTCCCTCTCTCCGCCAGGCTCTTTCTCTCATGCACCCTCCTCGCCAGGCCAACCAGTCCTCTGGGGGAACCCTCCCTTCTCCTTGGCTGGAATGGGCATCTTCCTTTTCTGATATGACCGTGAACGCGTGTCTGGTTAGCCTCTGTCCCCCTAGTCCTCTGCACAGCACCTAGTATGTGGGAAGTTCTCCGGAAGGGTTGACGAATCAGTCAATGCTCGCTTGAACAAAGGCAGCTGGCAGTTTCTGAGCCCGCCTGTCCCTTGGAATCTCCGCTCCCACCAGGGGGTACAGAATCTTCAGCCCCTCTGCACTGGACCTGGGAATTCTGTTTCTGGGGGCACAACCCAAACCTATCTTCCCGTTTCCTCTCTGCACAGCGGAGGCAGGCTGGCACTTCAAAGGACTGGGTGGGCAGAGCAGTGGGGGAAATGAACAAAGAGGCATTAGCACAGGTACCGGGTCTGGCTCACACGGTTCAGGTTTCTCTCCTCCCACAGCCAGCTCACCATGGGGCTTGGGGGCAACCCCATGGGGGAATGCGGGCAGGAGGGAGAGACAGTTTCACATCGGCCCTGCCTCGGCTCCCTGCTTCCAGGTGACCTCCCCCTGGAACTCTGGAGTCACTTTAGCAGAAGAGGGAGGCAGCTGTCCTTCTAAGGGGCCTTCTGTCGTGCTTACAGTACAGACAATAACATGGTAAGTGAGATTGTGAACGCGCCAGTGTGCGCATCGGGGAAAGGATCATAATGGGTGGGATGCTGTGGGCAAGGCCTCAAAGGTGCCAGGACCAGAGTGGATAACTCTGGTTTTGTTCCCTCCCAGCTGCCCTCTCTGCATGTCCCACCCTCACAAAATTGGAGTGCAAGATCCCAAGAGCCCCTGGGCCCTGCCTGATCCCCCTGGAGGGTGCCCCCCTGGTGGAAGAAATAATAGCAGAGGAAGAGTGAGAAATGGAGACTAAGGAAAGACAAGGAGAAGAGATTGGCCTGAAGTCTGGGCCCGGCACCTGGGCTGATGTGGGGTTGGTTTGATCCTCACATCAAGCCTGTAAAATTAGATAAATGTTACTCTCAAGGAGGAAAACAAGACTCAGAGAGGTTAAGTAATTTGCTCAAGGTCACCCAGCCAGTCAGTGGCAGGGTGGGCACCAGAACCTGCATCTGTCTGACATTCCCTGATGAGGCTGCGGGTCTTCTTAGTAATCCTGGTCCCTCGTATGGCAAGAAGCGGTTCCCCCACCCCCCTCGGCAGACACATCCCTACCGACCCCCTCGCCTTGGGTTGCTTTGTGTCTGAGCCTCCCCTTGACAGCTGTGAGGTGGGGGCCCAGCACTGGCCCCAGCTGGAGCCCTGGCACTGAGCCCTCAGACATTCTCTGGTTACACCGGGACGAATCCGCTCCCCCAGCCCCAGCTCCACAGGCTTCAGGGCAGGGCTGGTCACCTACAGGCAGCCGGGCCTGGCTGGGGCTGGAGTGCAGGGCCTGGGAGAGGGGGGGATCAGTGTGCGAGGGAGGAGGATCCGGAGAGCATCTCCTGGGAGGCGGGCTGGGTGCTGGGCTGAGGCTGGTTGTGTTGGCCTTATCCTACTGAGAAAGCTCACAGAGGTCAAGTTGGTTGTCCAGAGTCCCACAGCCAGGAACGCCACAGCTGGAATCGGACAAGGTCGACTTCTGAAATCCCTCTTTCTCCTTTTGTCCGCAGGGCCTGGTGTCTCTGTGACCCAGGAGCCCCTCCCCAGGCAGCGCCTGCCCTCGCCCTGGCTCAGGCCCCAAGGACCACCTGCCTCTGGCCTGTATCTAGGGCCACGCCAGTGACATCTCCAAGCCTCCGTGTTCTCACCTGTCACATGGTGACATCACACCTGGCTTTCCTGCCCTCTGACTGAGCAAGTGAAATCCCCAGGTAGGACATAAACACAGACCTAGATTCCAGTCAGGTCAGTGACTTCACAGCGTGCTCGCTTGCTCCGCCCACTGCCCCTCCTTCAGTTCAATAAACTTGTCCCGAGCACCTTCTATGGTGCCAAGCGCTGTGACAGGTGCTGGGGGGCTTGCCCCTGGCTCGGGGGGGGGGAGGGGGAGTCAGAAATGTACACAAATAAGCACCGTCTTTTGTGATTCCTCAAAACAAGTCTGTCCAAGGCCCAGGACAGGTGTAGAGAAGAGAGTGATTAGCTCCGGGAGTTCATGGCTTCACACAGGAGGCGCCTTTTGAGCAGGGTTTTGAAAGCGTACGAGGAGTTTACCAGGAGAAAAGAAGACGAGCATTGAAGGCAGCGCGAGGAGCGGTGCAGGGACACGTGTGTGAAACGTGGGCTGTATGAAGGAAATTCCAAGGACTGGATCTGCTGGGAAATGGGATGCAAGGGGAGACGGGCAGGACAGGAATCTGGGGCAAGGGTGGAGGCAGACCCCACTCAGAGGTTTAGATTTTACCCGGAAGTGATGTAGCACCTTCTCTCCTGCTCCCCCGGCCTGGGGACAGAAACACTGCCTTCTCAGGAGCTGGACTGACCAGGGCTCCCTTGTGATTGCCTCTTAATGAGCCTCTCGGGGCAGCACCCGGCCCTTCTGCTCACAGAGCTGTCCTGGGGGGGGGGGGGGGGGCACCATCAGCATCCTGTGACGCAGGCACAACAGGTGTTTCTGGGGGACCAGGAGTTTAGAGGAGGCTGGTGTCTGGATTTGGCCCCAGTGCCCCAAGGTAGGACAGGCCGGTGGAGGAGGGGCTGTTTATACTGCTTAGGGCCTGCCTGGTGGGTCAGAGTCCATCTGGCTATTTCCCCAGCCCAGGTGTGCAGGAGTGGCTCCTTCCCGATGGCCAGAGGCGGGTGGCAAGGGCTTGAGCGAGGGCGC